TTTAAACCAGATTGAAAATCTGTATGCCATGTACTCTCTCTGTGTGTGTGTGTGTGTGTGTGTGTGTTCATATATATCCCATATGTGTGCATATATGCACACATACTTGAGATGTATAGTTTTAGAACCCGCCCTATTTTTGTAAAGTGAAGTTGTTTTAAACTGTTAACATTGTGCATTATTGTGTTTTATATTAATGTTGTGTTTCAATTGTCGTCACCCGCCCTGGGACTTTCAGACGAAGGGAGGGCAATAAACTGTAGTAGTTAATAATAATAATAATAATAATAATAATAATAATAAATGTACTATGTATTCACATACAAACACACACACGCTCTCACACGCTCTCTATAATTTATTTCTGTTGTTATTGAAGTAACTGGCCCTGTGAGCTTAGGCTGAAGGGTAGGACTGAAATCCCATCAATTAATTAGTAACATCCCCCGCCTCTCTGAATCAGGAGTCACCTCGATCACTCTCTGCGCGTTTGATCCCCAGAAGTCTGAGCAGCCGCCCTAGTCACCCGCCGACCCTCAAACTATCAGCGGTGGGTGGGTGGAGGATGCAAGCGCAGCTGGATCCTTCAGTAGCAGCAGTTTTGCAAAGGAGCCAAATAATAACATTAACCTTTCTGGGGGGCGGCTGCTACCGACCTCCAAATGTTTAGCAACCTGGCGCGCAAAGGATGGCCGGCATTAGAAAGCAATTCCCTCTCTCAGGAAATACATAGAGATTGTGGCTACTTGCTGCCGGCCAAGTATAAGACATCGCCATGTGTGGGGGGCGATGAAATATACCGTCCACGCTCTATTATTGCGCAGCTTTGTTTGTATCCATTTATCTCTTTTCTAAAAATAAAATACAGCACTCTCCAAAATCTGTTATCCCTGAGAGACTCGTTAAAATAAGTCGGAATATTTTTTTATTCTGATCTTTATTTCAAATGATCCTGACTCCTGTTAAAGTGCGAAACCTTAAAATTTAAGTCAGCTAGCTCTTGCTTAGGAGTAGACGCCGTTGAGATTATTAACTTGCTTTAGGGTGGCTCCGATCCAACCGGAGCGACTTGCGCTGAGGTTTTCTTCAGATCGTGGGGAAGATTCAGCCAGGAATATTGACTTCAGCAGGACTAAGGCTGAAGCTCTCAATGATTTTATCGGGGAATAAATTCCCCCGAACTGTATGCCCAGTAAAAAAAGAAAAGAAAGCATAGGATCGCGATTCATCTTTAAATGGATCGCCTATCTGGATCCGATTTAAATCCAGAATCGACAGCTTCTCTCTGCTGTGCTTTTCCTTCCCTATATTAACTAAACGAAACAATCCAGAACGACATTTTTCAGGAAATAGATCGCATTGCCTTCAGTCGAGCTTACTTCTGCCTAAGCTTCTTTAGGATCGCAATCACTGGAGCGCATTCGACTTCGGTTTAGAAATGAAATAAAATAAATAAATACTTGTCGCGAGGGAGGCAGGAGATGGCTGCAATCCTAAACACATTTTCTGGAGAGGAATGAACCTCTCCGAAAACAGAATTCGTTTCGGAGTAAAGGATTGGGCTTCGCTCGCCGACAACAACAACACTTTTCAATGTTGTGCAAAAGTTCACATAATTTAGCGGTCAAAAAAGTTCGTGCGTCTTGTTTATATACTCCGCAAAATCTGCCGATTTTTATTTATCTGCTTAAGCAAAATACAATAAACCGGAAGCCTTTTCTCCTAAACTTGGTTGTCCGGCAGATTCCTGCTTCCGGATTTGGAGAGATCTTAAATTGCTTGGGCTTCATTCAGGTCCGCGTTTCACCCACAGCCGGTCACTTCGAGTCGCGGGCTGCTGTTTAACTGTCTCTTTGTTTCCGGGAGGGGATTATTTTTCAAGACAAAACATCTCCTTCTGAATACATCCCGAATACCCATTAGACGCAACTGTTTTTCTTTCCCTCTTTTTTCAGAGCCGCCAATTAATAGGATCCCGGCTCCATAATCCCACCTAGCGCTTGCAAGAAGACCTACTTTGCGACATTCTTTCGCTTTTGTTTTTTCTCTGGACGGGATTTCAGCCTCGGATTTGCCCCCAATTCGCTTGGACCGGCCATTTCCTGTTGGAAAGGCTAGTTGCGCGTTAAACACGAAGGGGGGGGGTGGAATTAAAATGGGGCGGGGAAAACTATTTTTCTGCACCGCCTATGGGAGATCGTAAGCCATTTTTACACCTGCGAGAAAAGGCTACTCAACGTTCGCACCCATCGCGTTCTCGATGCTGTACAGAACGCAGAAATTACAAGCGAGGTCTCTGCCCCGATGGTTTACAATCCACAAGACTGGGATCTGGGGGCGGAAAGGGGGATAGGGGCTATGGAAGAACATTGGAGGCACCAATAGGAGGTGGGGGGTCAAGTACCCCCCCGGACACATAAACATTTACTTCCCCCTCCCCCATTATTGAACAGGAAAACCTCCTTCTCGGCTTAAGGGAGCTTTAGTTAGATTGGAAGCGCTCCGTGATGCTTTTCTGTCGGTGACATAAAAATGAGAGTAACGGAAATCAGTCGCAAAGTCTGGGAGATCTTATTCTGTGGAACTGGCTGGAATATAGCCAGTCAGTTTTGTGGATCTGAGCGCGTTTAGGATCTCAGACCCGGGGTGTGAGTGCAAGAGCGAGCGCGTGATTTCTCTCACACGCGCAAACAACGCAGCCTGCGGAAAACCGGATCTGGAGCCTGGTACGCGCGAGAACGTCCTTGCAGTGCTCAGTGGGGCTTATTGCCAGCTAACCGGGTACGGGATCACTGCCTTAATAACAGAGCGCGGCTTGCAGTAACAACAGCCGTCCGCTCCCAAGTGATTCTTTCCAGATTAGCAAAACCGGATTGAGATAGGCCGGGCATCGCCTTAATTTCGTACTAATAAATGCGAGCAAGCGGGTGGGTGTAATCCGGCGCCCCGCCGCTTGATGGCTTTTAGAAGGCTGTTTCTCTCGCTGAAACTTTCTCCTAATTTTAGCAATTATTTCCCACCCACCCTCCTCCTAATTAAACACGTTTTCCCCTTTTATGCTCGGCATCTTAAACCGCCTCATTTTGGGGTCTTTTTGTTTTAATCTGATATTGATCTCTTTTGGATCCGTTTCCTCTCGCCTTCCTGAGAGCTCTCCGGCTAAGGAAGCGTCCCATGTTGCAGTCCTGCGCGTTTACCTCGGAGTAAACCCCACTGGATTCAAATGAGGCATACCTACGAGTATGGGGTACATAATGAGTTTGTGCGATGAATCAGCCACGTTTTTTGCTTGGGAGGGGGGTGGAGGTTGTAGACTCGAAGGCGTGAGCAAGTTTCTGCTTTTAAAATCCTATTTTTCTCACTTTTCCTTACTTGGCAGTAAAAGGCATCGGGTAGTCTGTGTTAAGAGGTCTCCAACTTTTTCCTTCCTGGACCCCAAACCATCATTTCTAAATAGTGTCGTTTCTAAACCGCCTCTCAGCCAACCGCACAAGGCGGTTTACAAACATCCCTGAAATGCACCAGTGCAAGATAAACCATAACATTATCGCCTTGCGAATATCACAAAAGCGTGCAACTTGGTGTTATGTAAAAACTTCTTAAAGATCTGTTTTTGATTCATCAATCCAGCTAAATGAAACATGAGGTCATCGTGGAAAACTTACTAGTATAAAACTAAAGATAAAATGCAACCTTAAAAAAAAAAGCAAAGTGTGCCTAGACTTTTTAAAAAAGAACCGAAAGCATATCACTTACATTTATAGACCCCAGGAGAATAAAAAAGGTATTTTCCAGGCAAGAGGAAGAACGTAAAGTTGGTGCCAAGTGGGCCTTTTGGGGGGGTGGTATTTCACAGTTGAGATGCCACCACTAAAAAGGCCCTAGTCACCTCCTTGTGTGTGTAGAGCAACACTTGGCAGTGGCCCTCCGCTAAACTAGGGGCCCGTTTAACTCCATCTTTTGCACCCCTCTCCTTTACACTATTGCATGTCAACCCTCTGCACCATTGCATGCATTACACCTGCAGGCTGAGGATAACATCAGAAGCTCCCTTAGACTGAGTCAGGTCATTGGCCCATCTAGCTCAATAATGGCTCTCCGGGGTTCCAGGATGTGGGCTCTTTCCCAGCCCTACGTAGGGATGCTGGGGATCGAACCTGGGACATTCTGCAGGCAAGGCAGACGCTCTGCCGTTGAGCTACGCCCTTCCATAGCCTCTAGGGGAGGTTATGGCATAACAAACGTGTTAGTCTTTGAGGTGCTACGCCGTACACGGGCACCTTCTTGTTTCCCCAACAGGCACAGATGGCGGAGAGATAGACACTTGTCATCGATCTATGTACAACTGATCGAGAGGCAGGAGAGACTGAATGATAAGGTAGATCAGTCAGTCCCTGCCTATCTCACTCAACAACTCAGAATCGCAAGTGGGTCAGAGATGACAGAATATGAGGGCGCGTCTGGTGTCCAGCCCAGCGAAAGTCCAGCTGCTGAAACCGCAGCACTTCAGGCCTTAAAAGCAGAAAACAGCGTTCTGCTCCTTTCTGCTGCGCCAGCATCCGGACGCCGTAACTACCTGAAATGCCCCATATCCAAAATCCTAGCTGGAATCCTCTGCTTTCGGGACTTAACTCTTTCCTGCCCCACTCTTAAGTTCCCATTCCCCTTCCATCCTCCTTTCCTAACTGCGGTCTGCCACCAACTAAGTTCTCCTCAAAGTAGACCCATTGAAACGAATCGAGATGACTAACTTAGGCCCATGCATATCAACCCGTAAGGAAAATTTAGTTGGGTGCAAGTCTCCCACCCCCACTTCACGGACTTCCTCCAATTACGCTCCCACCTAATTTCCCTCAAAATTAAATTAAAATAAAATAATAAAATAAAATAAAATAAAATGAGGGCGGGAGAGAGACTCTCCATGGGATTCAGAGAGTCGACTTTCTTCCTCTCAGTCAAAAAAAAAAAAAAGGCATTGGCACAAGTTGGGGGGGGAGTAAGAGCGGAAGCCAGCCAGGTTACTTGCTGAGCTTGTGCCATTGGCAGCGCGGGCTGGCGGGACTGGCTGGCTGAGAGATCAAGGCAGAAGACTGGGTTTCCGCATAAAGAGAAGTAGTAGCAGCAGCAGCAGCAGCAAGCCGAGGCAAGGCAGGGAGGAGGCTTCTCCCAAGCCAATCCTGCAAAAGATTTGGAGAGCTGGCCAGGGCGAGGGAAGCATACAGCCGGAGCCCCGGTCCCCTTTTTGCCTTCGCTGCTGCGCGCAGGAGGTGAGGAGGGAGGCGCGAGGCACCCAATGGAGGCCGGGCGGAGGGAGGCAGAGCTTCTCCTCTGAGGCACCTTGGCCCGGAGCGGAGAGAGAGAGAGAGACAGGAGCCGAAGAAGAGAGAGAGACGCAGAGGGACCTCTCCGGAAGCCTCCGGGGCTTTGGATGCTGGCGACGGGCCTCGCAGGAGGAAGCAGACCTCGCCGCCTGGAGACGAAGGGAACCTCCGCGAGCCTCTCCCTGCTGTAAGTCTCCATCCCTCCTTATTGCGGATCTTTTCCTTGGGGAGAGGGAGAAGGGGGGAACGGACTTCTTTATCTCCCCACTTTTCTTTAAATGAGCCATTAACTCTTCCCCTACCGAACAAGCTGCTTTTATTCCAACGGATCCTTGCGCGCGATTTCCATCTTCCATCTCTTTATTTTTATTAATCACAAGAATCTCTACAGCTCCCCCACTGCCGCAGCCTTGCTTCCTTACTGTTCAGAGAGGCGCCCTGTGGCTGGTAGCATAAACCGTAAGCAAGGGTTGTTGTCGATGTTTCGAGAGGGGGAGGAAGAGAGACAACGTTCCCTTGCGTATTTTCTTCCTTTGCGCAAATTCAGATCTGTCCCACGTTCTGTCGAGCAAAGGCGTACAGCACTGCGCTCCGAATGGTTCTTAATGCCGATCCTATACGTGTTTGGTCGGAAGTAAGCCTCCTCCCGCACCCCGCGCAATCCAGCGGGGTTTACTCTCTCGCGAGCGCGCTTTAGAGCACAACACTAGATATAAAACCACTTCGCTTTATCTGGACTGTGGGTCGTTGAGGATCCTTCGGAAGAAAACCCCTCGGTGTGTCCTGAAAATAAGGCTCACGGAGCGATCCTATGCATAGCTGGGAGTTCCGCGGGAATAAATTGGGTTTCACTTCCAGTAAACATGGTTAGGGTCGGTCTCTTAAAGGCGTTCTTATTATGTAGACCCCTTGAAAAGAATGGACCTATGTTAGTTCTTTTCATGAATTTCAGTGGGTCTACTCTGAGTAGGCTCATCATTGGGTACACCTAATAGTAACAGCGGCAGCAGCGGCAGCAATTATTTGCTGCGATGGCCCCTTGCAAATTCCTTACTGACCCAGACGCAGGTCACTTAGGCCGGAATCCTTGAGTTGAAGACAAAGTGTGCCTCGCTGGATTCGGAGGAACCAAATTCCCTGCACCGAGCGTTGCGGTTTAGCTAATACCTGGTGGCTTAGAGCCGTGAGGGAGATCTAGAGCTCTCTGCTCTCTTGCGGGTGCATATTAAATCGGGGTGGTAAAAGGTTTAGCTCCCAAGCGTGTTGTTAGACACACCGCGGGTGTGGAATGCCTACTGCGAAATCTGCGCGAGCTGCTTCGGGAGAGGTTGTTGTAAGAAACAGCAACGCGGCTCAGTTTCAGTGCAAAAAGAGCGCGCGTGAAGCTGACCCTCGGGGCTTTAGTGCAACCCAGCTCCTCCGTTGAACTCGCTGAGAGCTTTGTGAGGGTTGATTCCAACGGGGAACGGAGTTGTAAATACAAACAGACTGACTCTCTCTCTCTCTCTCTCTCTCTCTCTCTCTCTCTCTCTTAAAATGCAGAGGGTCGTACCCAATACTAGTCATGTTCATAGCAGGACCGTTGAAGTTAATGGGCAAAGCTAATTTAGGTTCCTAAATTTCAACGAGTCTCCTCTGAGCAGCGCTTAGCTAGAGACAACCCCAAGATTCAGTCTTCGTTGTTTTGAGTAAAGCGCTGATTTACCTAGGAAGCTCTCTTATTACAGGATGAGACCAGTGCGGTCCATCTAGCTGAGAACTGCAAGCTGGCAGGAGGACTTGGTTGGAGACAACCCAGGAATAAGTAAATATGGGTAGATATTCTGTACCCATCGAATTCAGTGTAACTTAATTATCAGTAGACAGACATAGGATCGCAGACATAGGTGTGTGTGTGTGTGTGTGTGTGTGTGTGTGTGTGTGTAGCCTCGTCTGCCCCTTTCTTCAATCTGTTTTCTGGAAGTGTCCCCCTCACCCAAACACAAATACAACAAGTTTTATGGACGCATTTCAGAAGGTGTGCGCGTATCGGAGACACTCTAGAACGCGGCTCCTCCTCCAGAATCGGGTCCGGTAACCTGAAACCCGGGCGCTCTAAAGCGGGAAGGAAATGGTTAACATCCCTATATGCTCAATTACCTTGAGAGAGCGGCGGGAGAGATTAGTTTGGCTCAGGGAAGGCTCATTTAAAGGTACATTAAATCCTTCCAACACTCCCTTAGCCAAGCACCCAAGGTGAACCAGACGCGCGAAGTAAACACTGTCTGGGTTCCTGCTTAAAAAAAGAAAAAACGTCTCCACCCTACAATCCAAAAGGAGGAACTAAATCGGCGATAATCCAGCGCAGGTATACTCGGGAGTAAAACATAAGTAAGAGAAGCCTCACTGAAATAAGCAAATCTGTGGAACAGCCGATTAGGGCTGCGCTTGGAGCGCACGGTTGGTTCGAATCGTAGCCTTTTGCTGGGGAACATAGATCCGGGACCTCATCCCGGTGGATCTACTCACAGTCAAGGGATCCCCTCGGGGCAGAAAGCTGCGGAATGAGCCAGCTCCCAACCACCCCACTCCCCCGAAAACAACAGACCTGGTTGACCACCCGGTGAAGAAATATAGCTGAAGGAATATAGATCTAAAGCAGTCATGTCCAAGAGGTAGAGCGATATCTACTGGTAGATCAGTGGACGTCTGAGGTAGATCGCTGGCAGATCACTGACTCCCCCCAAAGAAGCCCAGAAACTTTGGCTCCCCTAAAAAAAGCCCTACATCTTTGACCTGCATTCCAAAAAAGAGGGTAGATCACTGCCAGTTTTTAACTCTGTGAGTAGATCTCAGTCTCTTGGAAGTTGACCACTCCTGGTCTAAAGCTTTGCAAAGGGGCGTTAGGACAGTAAGTCCCGCCCGGGGCTAAGGTTCCCTGACGGAGCTTCTGTGTACGGTGGGCTCCGTGAATGCTTGCCGAAAGGGGAGGTGATTATTGAACGCCCCATTCCTGCCGCCCCGGTGGTGGCAAACACAGAGAGCGAGTCGTGTTGATCCAGGGATTACACGCGTGGCCTGCTTCTCCATTAACGAGGCCCGCTTTCCCAGGGAACGCTTGCGAGCGATCCCCATTTAAAGGCTCTACAGTTACAAGGAGGATCAACTCGGGTGTCTTTCCTGCCTGACCCCAGTTAAAATGTTGGGGGGAGATTTAAGAGGGCCTCCTCTTTTTTTCTGGAGGAAAGGGGGGGCAAAGTGCAATCTTGCGCATGTCTTGCTCAGAAGTCCCCCTTTAATTCAAGAGGGTTTATTCCCAAGAAAGCGGGCATGGGATTGCAGCCTTCGGAGGAAAGAAATTGTTCCCAAATTCCGTGGGAGAGTTTGTGCATCTTCTGACTTGGACGACGCGGGTCTATTTCTGCTTTGTCAATGTAATAGTAATAATTCAGAGTATAATGATGTTTACTCTGCCCGCCCCAGCCTTAGGGCTGTGCACGGCGAAGCATCAAAATCAGTAAGGCTCAGCTATTCAGCTAAGGATAAACCCATTGAAATTAAAGGCCCCAAACCAGTCGTGCCTATTAATTTCAATGGGTCTACTTGGTGTGTGACGTTGGATGCAACTTTAAATAGCTCACCTAGAGTCCTCAGTCACCTGCTGGAAAATGTATCCTATTGTCCACTGGAAATAATTCGAAAATATGGTTTTAGATCAGAGGTTAGCAAACCTTTTCAGCAGGGGGCCGGTCCACTGTCCCTCAGACCTTGTGGGGGGCCGGACTATATTTTGAAAAAAATAAATGGACGAATTCCTATGCCCCACAAATAACCCAGAGATGCATTTTAAATAAAAGGACACATTCTACTCATGTAAAAACACCAGGCAGGCCCCACAAATAACCCAGAGATGCATTTTAAATAAAAAGACACACTCTACTCATGTAAAACATACTGATTCAGACTGAGAAGGTGATTGGGCCAGTTCCGGTCCCTGGGCCTTAGCTTGCCTACCCATGTTTTAGACCGTTGGCTAAATACTGATGGGGGGAGTGGTGTAACAAAAATTAAAAAGTACGTAAGAAACTAGAATAAGACTTGAAATCTTCCTTCCAAGTTTTCGCCTGCATAATGAAAGAACAGTCGAGACACATGGGTCTTCCAGAACTTCAAGTTAAGATTCTGGCGAATTTGCTCTACGTTGGAGTCCGATAGCAGTGTTTACTTATTAATTATAAAAAAACATAAAGTCTACATGTTTGCGTGCACCACCCATGATATCTTTCAGACTGAACAGATTACAAAATTTTAAAAGGGTTTGGAGATTTTAAAATGCTCCAGGCAGCTTCTACCATTCCTATTAGTAGCAAACTGGTAGTAGGATGGGGTGGCCTTGTTAGCCTTTTGCAGCCAAGATTCATGTGGCACCTTAAAGACTAGCAAAATTATTGTAGGATAAGCTTTCCTGGACAGTAATAATAATAATAATAATAATAATAATAATAATAATAATAATAATAATATCTCCCCCACTTTTATACATAAAAAGAATTTGTTAATTCCCATTCATAAACCGAATGTTTTAGCACTTGACATGTTACATGGTGGAAGGCTGCAACTCTTGCTTATATTCCACTGCAGTAGAGAAACCTACCTTAAATCAGCCACCTTTTATGACTTGGTCTGCTATTCATATCCCACTGAAATCAATTGCAAAACTGTCTCTTTTTGTTACAGCTGTTATGTTCATTGTCAATATAGAAACACACACACACACACACACACCATCAAAAACAAAGCCTTGCATTGAAAACAACAACTGGACAGCTGTTAAAACAGCTAAGATTAAATTCTGCTCGCAGTGATTCTAAAAACAGTATTCTTTACTTGGGGAAGAATAAAAAGTTACGCCTCAGATCTGTAGCATTGTTTCTGTGTATCAATTTTTTCTTTCTTCACCAGAGGCAATTACATTTTTATAATTATTGGTGTTGCAGAAGCGTAGCTGATTCATGGCAGATGAAACAACTAAAGAAACGTCCCCAAAATTAATTGGGCGACGTAATTTTTTCTCCTATTATTTTTAATGCAAGGGTTTAATAAATGCAGGTGGCAAGTGCATTTTAGGAGAGAAATTCCCTGGAGCAAGGAGCAGTAAGCTACGTACTTTTAAGATGGCATGGGCTGCGACACACACACACACACACA